CCAAGAAAAGCAGGACAGCCGTCCCCTAGTCCCTGACAAAGTACTGTGCAGCCCCTCCTCCTCCTCCTCTCTTCTGTTCACCTCTCTGCTGCTCTCGGCATGTCACTGTCCAGACTGCACTGCTCACAGACTGACCGGGTGATGGAGGGGGAACACGGGCAGATTAACATCTGCCTGTGGTGGGAGAATTGGTTTAATAATCGTTAAACTTTAAAAATGTAGGTTTTGGTTTCATATCTGCCAACATTGGTCAGCTTATACTGTTCTCAAACTCCTGGCCCGGGGACCAATCACAGCCCCTGTGAGTCCTGTATCTTTGGTCCATGACTATATGACCTAAAATATTAAAAATGTTTCTTGTTTTTTTTTTAAGTATTATTTAATCAGTTGGTCATATAATAATAAAATAAACAGATCCTCAGTGTTGAGGTAAAAAAAAAAACATAATGTGTTAACATCAGTATTCTTAGTGTTAATGTGAGTTTTTTCCAGTGGAAACTGCCTTTGAATATAATCTATAAATGTTATGGCAGAACCTCATTCATGGGGCAACAACCTAAAAATACCCCCAGGTGTATTAATGCACTCTCTAAGTTCTCCATTAGGGCCTTGAACTGGTGAACATTTGTAAAAAAAGTAAATTAAAATTTTTTTTTTCTCACATATAAACACAAACCATGAAGATTATCGACTCGTCACCTGTACTCATCAACATTATTACGCATGTTTGTCACTGCATGTATTTGTCTGAATCACCAGTGGTTCCCAAACGCCCCCTCCCCTCACGCTCCCCCCCCCCCCCCCCAAAACGTAAATACTGTAATTCATAAAAACAGATATTTACCTTAAGAAAAAAATTAACATTTTGAATCAGTGTTTTTTTTTCTGGGGCGTCCATTTGTGTCTGTGTCACAATTAATGTTACCTGCAATAACTGTACACTAAAAGGGACCTGCCCCCCACTTTGGGAACCACTGGAATACACCATGATCGCACCTAACGAGCAGGCTTGGGTGATAAAGACGTTCATCGGTTCCAGAACCTTGAATTTCTGAACCTGGTTTCAGAGAATTCTACATTCTACATGGTTCAGTTCATGGTCCAACCATGTGCAGTTTGTTGTTTATTGTTGTGTTCTAATCTAATGACTTCACTCTGCTTGGTGGTGTTTAAGATCTAATGACTTCACTCTGCTTGGTGGTGATTAGCACTAATTAATAATTAATTATCGAGTAAACGTCAACAGGTCAACCTGATTGACCTCTATCACCCAGGCCTGTGCACTGAGAGCAGCATGCTACAGCTAACATGGCTAACATTTCACTCTTCTTATATTAATCACATGAACGAAGATGGTGGAGGTTCACGTTCTTCCACTGTGTGGCGCTAATTCTCCACTTCTCTGTGCTGCACCAACCGTCTGTCCTCTGGTTACAGGACACATCAGCTGCTGAGGCTAACGACCCGGAGGTCGACCAAACCCCCGACCATGTTGCCCTGGACAACGGCTGCCCCCCACAACTCAAACAGAAACAGTTAAAAGAACAGAAGAACATGTCCAGGACGCACGGTAAAAACAAGGAACAAGAGCTCAAGCACGGGCCGGGAGGGTCGAGAGAATCTGTCACCGCCGCTCATGTGGTGGAAGTCGATGTAGAAATTAACACGGTGAACGACGACGGTGCGTCACGGCCGGTCCGACCCTGCTCTAAAAGAAAATCCAACACGCCTCAGAAAGCCAGGAGGAACCCCTGCACCAACGTGGCTTTGGTGGACGCCCACAGAGGGGCGGGGTCTCTGTCCAGGGCCTCTCTCATCTCGGACACTGCGGCCGAGGAGCTCTGTGAGCTGAGGAGCTACTACAGCAAACAGCTGAGGAGAATCAACTACATTTCCCATGAGTGCCTGGCTCAGCCCGCGGCCTCTGGAGTGCTGGCCTGCATCAGGGAGCCCCTCAGGAGCCTCAGGTTGCCCCGCAGGGTGACCATCGCTCAGACGGCCCGAAGCCTGTGGACCCGTGTCAGCGGCAGACGGAAACTGCTGCACCGATGACCGTCGTCGACTCACCGTTTCTGCTTTGACGTTCTGGGAGATTTCTCTACCGACCTTTCTCGCCTCAGAACTGAGTCTTTGTTTTTTGTTTTTCACTTTTGAGTTTTTTGTTGTTCGCACTTTAAGCTAGTATTTTTTCCTCACAAAAACCTCACTTTTGTTGTTATAAAAATATATATATAAAAAATTTCACACAATGATTTCACTTTTAAATTCTGTTTCCAGGTTCATGAATGAAAGAAACTTATTTAAATAATTGAAAAAAATTAGGGATGTCTGATAATATTTGGCCGACTAATATTATCGGCCCGATATTAGCATATTATGTAATATCTGTAAGAATCGTTATCGGGTTTTCATTATCGGAGGTAAAACCGATAATGATTCTTACAATGCCAAGTGATGTCTGCCTCAAAAATAGTTTTGGGGGATAAACACCTGTATATTAAAGTGAAAGTCACTAGATGGCAGCATTGCAGCTCATATAATTAATATCATACTCATACAGTGGTTTGTATAGATAAATATCACCAGGCCCATATCGGTGTCAGTTGATATTGTAATCGGAAATTAGTGTTTGAACAATATCGGCATATTGGATATCGGCAAAAAGTTAATATCGTACATCCCTAAAAAGATATTTTAAAAAAAAACTTTTTTCGCTTGGTAGAAGAGTGGTGATGTTCTGACCAGGACCAGGGAACTGTACAGGTCGTCCACAACTGATTCCTGCTCTGATTGGCTCCTCCTCCCCAGTAAAACTGAGAGCTGTAGATGAGGAAGAAACAAAAATCTACACAAAGAAGGTGAGTGACAATGAGAGAAAGATGATTAGCTGTTGAAGGGATGACAGGAAGCAGGAAGTGAACACCAGTGTTTTGTTTTGTAAAGTATATTTGCTGTTTCCCAGTGTATTGTCGACTGCCTTACAAACTCTCACCCGGTTTGTCGGTGGAAATCAACACAGTCAAATGACAAATTTGTGACCAATGTATTTGACGTTGGTATCGTAAGGAAAAAGATTACTGTCAGAAGTGGGATTCGAACCCACGCCTCCAGGGGAGACTGCGACCTGAACGCAGCGCCTTAGACCGCTCGGCCATCCTGACTGCTTATGACCATGTACGACCGTAGTCTCCATGTTTGTTGGGTCTTTACAGCGTCGACTATACATCGATTAGATGATAGACGACGGTTTTGCGATGTAGTTTTTCAATCAACAAATCGACTCTAAAATAAAATATCGCATATGTTAAAATCGACTGATACGCTGACAGACGTTCTGCTAATGCTCTACAAATCGACTCTAAAATAAAATACCGTATATGTGAAGTCGACTGATCGCTGACAGACGTTCTGCTAATGCTCTATGGCTATGGTTACTAATATGTTAGTCAACAGAATTCGTGGATTTACAGAAACGTTTAATAGTTTAATATATTTTAATTGTCCATTTTTATGTGATTTCGTTCTTATTCGATAAACCAATCTCTATATCCTGCTGTCAAACCTCCTGTAACGACTTATATATTCAATATCCTGGTAATTTTTTAATAGTTTTGTCATATTTAACAAAGCAGGTCTAATAGGATGTTCAGAAAAGTGATTAGCGTCAATAAAACGATAAAAACTAAGTATTCAGTTTCAAAGCACGTAGTCTGTAGTCAGAGTTCTTTCTCAATTCGTAAATTGTTTGCGGTGTTTCCATAAGAATTATCGGAGCATTATTAGCTACAATAGCTAAGTTCTATTGAGAAAATGTGTGCTGTCAGAAGTGGGATTCGAACCCACGCCTCCAGAGGAGACTGCGACCTGAACGCAGCGCCTTAGACCGCTCGGCCATCCTGACTGCTTATGAACATGTCGAATATCTCGAGACTAACTTCCCCGTGAGCCCCAAAAAACGCGTTAATTCGGTTACTGTGGTGACCAGCCGTCAACAAGCGTTTTGAACTTGTTCGAACGCGGACAAGAGACACAAACAACAGAGTTCTTCAAAATGTCTCGACCTCACGCTGAGAGTGTGATTAAATCCATTATCGCTGAGATAATCGAGGACTGCGCCGTGAGGGGACACGGTGTGTCGGACACTCTGGCGGCTTTCATGGTCGGTAGATGGTACTAAACAAGGGGGAAGTGTTCCAGAACAGGCTCGGTGTTTGTTACCGTAGCGGCTAATCGCGATCCTTATTGTATTGTTAGAATTTAATGTTATGCATTAATATATATTTGTCTCGCTCTGTTCAGAAAGACTGAAAGTTTGCTTTAACCTAAATTGTTTAAAATGGTTTGTGGTATTTTCTTTCAGGTGAAGGCTGTCGTGTTGGACCCAAGAAATGGGTTCCATGTTGATCGAACACTGACGAAAGAGGACATCAAGAAGCTGGAGGAGGCAAGTTTGGAAAAACCGGAAAAAAAAAAATAATAATAATAATAATAATACACAGAGATCCAGAGTCATTTGTTGGACTTTCTCGTTTCAGATTTGTCTGAACAAACTGACAGAAAACTGCAGTCCGTCCTTCGACACAGTCAAGATGCAAGTTTATTTTGAAATGAACTTCAGCTCCAGACGTGAGTTACTCCATAAATACTGCTGTAATATTTCTACGTTACTCCGAGTCTCCGTTTCCCCGCCTTTTTTGAGACACGGCAAATATTTTACGTAAGAAAAATCCCATGGTGCACCAGCAAACAGAAATATGTATTTGTTAATCCAATACAACAGCAACAGGTAGATACGCTGATTAATCAGCCATCTGCTGCCATCTAGTGGAAGAGTGCTGCACAGCGTTTGGGAATCACTGCTCCAATTTAAATAAATTATTATAATAATTGTATCAGTTGATTAATGTCCGATAATAATTAATCATTTTAATGGTGATATTATGGTTTATTTTAATTTATTTTGCTGCTTTGATTGACACGTGTGTGTGTTGTGTGTGTTTGCAGGTGAGTTTCTTGAAGACGTCCACCGGGGCCTGGAGTCGCGGCTCCGGCCTGTGGTCGCAGAGATCACCGAGAGCAGAGTGAGAACACGGGACCAGCTGGATTCTCTTTACCGCAGGATCGTCTCCTACATCGTTCTGCGTTCTGGCATGGGTTCTCCGGCTGACGTCCACACGGTGAAGGAGGCCACGGGTCGGTCATTCATCTTCTACTTTATCAACAACAATGGGTGGAGTTTTGAAGAGTCACATGACCGGGGTCCAACCTGACTGACCCCTGTGGTCTCTGTGGTCTCTGTGCTCCAGCTGCCCTCCACAGTGTCTTTCCTCCCACTGAACTGGGGGCCTTCATGGTTCTGCTGAAGAACGACAAGGAGCAGCAACTGGATGAGCTGGTCACGATCGTGACGGGGATCCGACTCTTCAATAAGGCCTGCAGGACGGGAGTGGAGCAGAGCGACCTCCGTGAACTCAGTAACGTAGAGAGAAACACACTCTGTTCTGTAGTGTGATGTGGAGAATAGAAAAACAAAAGAGTTTCATGTTCGTTATTAGCTCAGAATCTGTGGGTAATTAGAGCTGAGGTTATAAATGTCCCTTTATTTCCTAACGTTTTCTGTCTGCTGTCTAATCAGTAAAACTTTATACATAAATTTATAAAAAAAATTATTTAATATCAATATTTAATCATAATCTAGTCTAATCTAGTCCAATCTAATCTAATCTAATCTAACCTAATCTAATCTAATCTAATCTAATCCAATCTAATCTAATCTAATCTAATCTAGTCCAATCCAATCCAATCCAATCCAATCCAATCCAATCCAATCTAATCTAATCTAATCCGATCTAATCTAATCCTAGTAGCTACACATGTTAGCGACATGATGATGTAAAAAAAAGAAAATCAGTCTAAAAATGGAGAGTTTTTTCACACTAACATCTAAAGTCAACTATCTGGAACATGTTCTGACTGTGTTCCACCTTCTGTTCCACCTTCTGTTCCACCTTCTGTTCCACCTTCTGTTCCACCTTCTGTTCCACCTTCTGTTCCACCTTCTGTTCCACCTTCTGTTCCACCTTCTGTTCCACCTTCTGTTCCACCTTCTGTTCCACCTTCTGTTCCACCTTCTGTTCCACCTTCTGTTCCACCTTCTGTTCCACCTTCTGTTCCACCTTCTGTTCCTCGTTCTATTCCACCTTCTGTTCCTCGTTCTGTTCCTCGTTCTGTTCCTCGTTCTGTCTGCAGTGCCAGACGTTCTCAACCAAGTTCTTCCAGTCGTCAGCAGAAACACGGAGCAGCAGCTGAGTCTGTCACAGAGTCTGGCCTGGAGATACACAGCAGTGCTGGAGAAGATGTCCGACCCTGACCACACCCCTGACCCTGACCACCCCCCTGACCCTGACCACACCCCCGACCTTGACCACCCCTCCGACCCTGACCCCGACCCTGACCACCCCTCCGACCCTGACCGCCCCCCCGTCCACCTGCTTAAAGAAGCCCTGTACAACGTGCGTCAGCAGGAGGCGTTCCTCCGACTGTTGCTGGTGAGAGAACAGCAGCTGTGAACGATCGGGTTCTGAGCGTGAGTTTCTGAACAACAAGTTTTTTAAAATTCTCTCCCTCCAGGCCGAGACACGTGTTTGTACCAAGCACGTTGAACTCCTGCAGAGGGCGCTGTTGTCTCAGATAAAGCTGATGAAGGAGACGGTGGCGTCGAAGACGGCTGTTCCCACCACCAAAGTTTTCGTAGGTGTTTCATTCACTGGAACTTTTTTTTACCTATGTCATTTAAGGCCCTTTGCTGTTGCATCATATCCATTGCTTTGCTTTTGAAGTGAATGGTAGCTGAGCATCAACAGGGTTTAATACACTCTTTATAAAAGTCAGAAAAACACGTTAAATATCAACACTTTATTTCATGACTTTGTTGAAATAAATTATTGAAATGGGGCCAAAAATTAAATAAAATACATTTTATAAAATGATCATTTTATAAAAATAATTTTTTTTTCTGTGAATGTGAAGACATTAAATAAAATTTCTAATTATATTAATATGTATTTAAGCGACTCAGACATTGAGCTTTTTAAAGCTGATGTTTTTTTTTTTATTATTATTATTTTAGCCACTGTTCAAGGCTTTATCAAAAGTATGGTCAGAACTCCAGGACGAGGCTGAGCTGCTGAACATCCTCGGTGACATTGCCCTCAACCTGCAGCCCTTCCTCTCCTCCCAGGCCCAGGTTTTCTCTGAGGAGTATTTGGGAGACCTGCTGGGGGGGTGTGAAGTCAAGACGGATGAACAGAGACTGACGGAGACTTCAGGTGAAGTTAGTTAGATCAGAGACTCTGGTGTGAACCGACAGGCCGGGTCCACGCCACAGGGTTTTCTTGGTCTTTGTCTTCCAGCAGAGATGGAGTCACTGGATTGGCTGCAGCCTGAAACGGCTGGTTTCAGTGAGATGTTGCTGCAGTATAATGGATTCTGTGGCTCCACGTTTGTCTCCAAGGACGGACTTCTTCTACCAGGTGCAATCAAGACAATTTTTTTTTAAATTCCGTAGAGTTACAAAAATCAGTGTCTTGTCAGTGTCATTTGGACAATAATATTTTATTTTATTTTGTTTTTTGCAGGTAATCCACACATTGGACTCCTGAAACACAGGGAGAAGCTCTACGCCTTCAGCTCCAGAGAGGCTGCCTTGACGTTTGCCTCCTGTCCAGACAAGTTCATCTCAGAGGTTTTGGAGAGAGCCAAGCTCTCACCTGAACTCCTTCAGCTGCTCAGGCTCCAACAGCACGTCTCCGGTGTCAGTGCGGGCTCCGAGGTGACTCTGATCCGGCCGTGACTTTGACTGAAACCTCTGCGTCACTCATTTTACAGACTTTTTTTTTTGTTTTGTTACCTGTGCTGTTGCAGTTGCTGCTCGGGGAGAGTGCACTGGTGAAGCCTGTGACTAAATGTGAGGGCGGCACACAGACCGACCTCCACCCCGTGGAGTCCAACATCGTCACGTCGTACGAGTGGAACGAGTGGGAGCTGAGACGGAAGGCCCTCAAACTGGTGGGTCGATCTGTCCGCGTTGTTGTTGAGTTAAACTTTTTAATTTGAGAAATATTTCATTAAAATATACTGACCTTCTAGTTTCAATTCACCCACACTTCACTTCCTCAGTGTGAAACCTGGACCAGTGCTGTCACATTTGAAAAAACAAAAACCTTTTTTTATGGTTTTATTGCTATCTGCTGCCATCTAGTGGAAGACTTTTAAAATGTTTCGATCTCTCGCGGCACAAACATATTTATGTTTAAATGATTTCTCAGGCCGATCTTCGCTCCAAAGTGACTCACTCGACGCAGACTCACTTGAGCCACATGCGACGGGAGAACGCGTCTCAGACGTGGCCTCTGAAGGAGGCTTCCTGTCAGAGCAAGAGAGACGGTGGGAGCAGCGTCCCCAAACCGCAGACCTACCTGACGGGTCTGAGAGGACAGAGAGTGGGACATGTGGTGAAGACCGACCTGACCAGACCAGCTCATGACTAACAACTGGAATATATATATATACAAACAAAAGAGGAATTTCTTTTACTGAAATAAACGCGTGCATGTCACAAAGGCTGGTCAAAAATTATATTTGTGTCACGTGACGAGGTCTGGCTTCTCATGGAGGTGTTGAGTAAGTACAGGTATGGACGGTTCTAAGAAGTTGTTTGAAGTATTTGCAGATATTATTACCGACATTATTTACAGTGAACTGTGTGAAATGTTTGTCTAAATTGAAATATATTTATATATAAAAGACATGTGACCGCAGGTTCTACTGAGATTTGAACTCAGATCGCTGGATTCAGAGTCCAGAGTGCTAACCATTACACCATAGAACCGCTGCTGACAAACCGTGAAAGGAAAAGGAAACAATTAAAATATTAATACGAACCAATATTCTTGAAAAAATTAGTTTGTTTTATCTGAATTCATTACCAGAACAAAGTATCAAATGCAATAAAAAAAAACAAGGTCGAGTCAAAATTTTTTTGCCACAATTCCATATAATATAATGTGTATATAAAATTAAAATATTTAAAAAATGATGATAATAACACTGAAGCTAACTCATATATCTAAATATATCTAAAGTAAAAGATCTTAGTGTTTATTTTAATAGTGACTTTTCAGTAATTCCTTATTGTCACCAGCAGATGGTAGTACACAACCAAAAAACGAGTTAAATCCTGGTCCATGATATTCATGTTTTTAATGTGACCTGTTGTTCCTTTTACCTGTTTCATGCTTTTAGACATTTTAGCTAGAAATATCTATCACTTCAACGAGAAAAGTAAAACATTAAAACGTGACATTGAGTTATTTTATTAGTGGTTATTATCGGTGTGATCAATTTGTTCACATAATTTTAACGTAAACATAATAACTGCATATGAATTTCCAGACTGTAATATGTATTAAATGTTTTTATTTTGTTTGATATAACTACGAAGTAGAGAGTATTTAAAGGTAGTTTTAAATACAGTTGCAATATTCTGCCCACTGTTTTCGTGCTCTGTGCGTAGCATCTCCACCTGCAGGTGGTGCTGCAGGTAAAATGGTAAAATGCACAGAGCATTTTACCATTTTACCTAGAACTTGATTTATTTACATACATCTAAATATCGAAACTTGGTGAAAACAACAACCACGTGAACGGCTGTTCAAAGATAGGTGATTCCCCACCAGAAAAAAAGAGGCAATTATGATGGGCAACCATTACTGTTCTACGAAAAAGGAGTAAATTTAAAATGTAACTTGTAATTTTTTAATTATCCGTATATTGTATAATTGTAGTTAGCGTTAAGCGTTTCTTTCTTGTCTGTAATCATGATTTTTAAAATACATTTAACCAAAATTAACTTTTAATTTTAAACAACACAATACAAATAGTATTCGACGCTTATAAAACATTTTATCGAATTAAAATAACATGAATTTCTGCTAAATTAATATTTAATTATCTCGTTACATTTTATTTTGAAGGTGAGAAAAGCCTTGTTTGTGACGTTATTGGTTTTGTTTTGAAAGGCCACCGGAAGCTATTGCGCCTGTAAACGTCACACTTTACGGCAGACTGCCTTGTACCGCTCCCGACCGCTCAGTCGACAGCAGATCCTCCTCCGGTCCTTTAAACCGATTTCAACGCCACACAGCCCGCACTTTCTGTACTTTCGCGAGCGGCACATTGGACTTTTATTGACACGAGTCTTTTATTAACGCGTGGTAGCGTGTGTGTGTGAGGAATTATTCCCTCCGTTCGGAGGCAGAACCGAAGAGAGACGAAGAAGCCGTGTTCTCCTGAAGCTCCTTCGGCAGTGGGTGGATAAAGCGGAGGAGGGCATCCGGGCCTGGCAGCTCCGCAGGGTCGCTTCGAAAACGACAGAATCCTCGGTTTCCAGGTAAATTTCTTCCACGCTCACGTTTCACCACACGTCGCGTGTCGGATAATGGGCTCGGTGACGTTTCACGTCGTCCATGTATTGCGAACGAGGAGGCGAACGCTTGTAGAGAATTGTTGTGAAAGACAACCGAGAGGAAACGACAGAAGCTGCGGCTGTGTTTCTTATTTTACCGCTTCTTCACTTCAATTACAATAACCGTGGAGACCGCGGTGTTAGAGTCCCACTCGTGTCCACTGTAAAAACTGTGTAAACACAACGCATTATGAAGGTTGGCAGCCGGGATCACCCTGTAAACAGAAACCCTGCCGTGTGCTGTAGCAGGATGTAGGCACACGGAAATTAAACAGAAATGACAGTTTAATATAAACAAACAATTAGCTCCAGTGTAGAAAACCTCTCACTGTAAAATGTGTCATTTAACAGATGTAAAGTCGTTTGTAACCAATGAAATAGACAGGAATAAATAAAACAATTACAACGTATATAATATATTATTTCTCAACTTAATTACAATTTTTTTTTAAACGGCTTATCATCAGAATTTATAATGAAACATTACAAACAATCCCAAGTAGTTTCTCATTTAAGCTAAATTTAGGAAACTACCGGAAGCGACTGGTGACAAATGACTCTAAGCTCAGTCCATCTTTTAACCTTTTTTATGCTAACTTTAATACGTTATTTTGATGTTTCAGATGTTTTATTTTTCGTACCTTTTTAAGTTGTAAACAGATCCACTTGAGGCTGGTCAACAACATCTGCCTCCAGGGCTGAGCTTTATCTCTGTAGTCATTCCACAATCTTGTGATTGTGATCGTAAACAGTTCGTATTAAGGTCGCTCTGACGCGGCATTGGAAGCATCGTATACAAAAGGCTACAAACTTTACTAAGAACTATAAAGAGCATTGTACCGTTTGTCAAGTAGTAGTAGTTAGTGTTGCTTCACATTTTGGTGACACCAGTAACATAAAAATACAAGATGATACAACGATAGGGGTGTTCGAACATATCATTACGTTAAAATATCACAATATTCCGTTTAATATCAATCCCCTCAGTCATTGATCAGTTATTGATTTTTTTCTCTCCAATTCTCAGTCCAATGTTCCTGGTGTTGGTTCATGTTCTTGTTCTTTTCTTTCTT